CCGCCGAAAGGTTGCATCTATCGGATGAGCGAGGAGGAGCTTGAGGTACTCCGCGCACAACTCGATGATTTGTTGGCCAAGGGCTGGATCCGCCCAAGTAGCTCCCCATATGGAGCACCAGTTCTCTTCGTCAGGACGAAGCACAAGGATCTACGATTGTGCATCGACTACCGCAAGCTCAACGTGCAAACCGTCAAGAATGCGGGGCCTCTTCCTCACATCGACGATCTTCTCGAGCGTCTGGGCGGTGCGAAGTATTTTTCCAAGCTCGATTTGAAATCAGGATATCATCAAATCTCGATTCAACCGAATGATCGCTACAAAACCGCATTCACGACGCGGTACTGGCATTTTGAGTGGGTGGTCATGCCTTTTGGCCTCACCAACGCCCCAACGACATTCCAGGCGGCGATGACCAATGAGTTCCGTGCAATGTTGGACCGGTTCGTGCTGGTCTACTTAGACGATATTCTCGTCTACGGCCGGACATTGGCGGATCATCTTGGACATCTTCGACGAGTGTTGGAGACGCTCTGCCGTGCCAAGTACAAGGCCAACCGCGACAAGTGCGAATTTGTTCGGCAAGAGCTGGAATACTTGGGCCATTTTGTCACACCGAAGGGCATGAGTCCGTTATCGGACAAGATTCAGGCCGTCCAAGAGTGGTCGGAGCCTCGGAACGTCGTGGATGTCCGCTCGTTCTTCGGTCTTACCAGCTACTATCAGCGCTTCATCAAAGGCTACTCCAAGATCGCGGCCCACTTGAACAAGCTTCAGTGCGAGGATCGGCCGTTTGACTTTGGAGAGGAGGCGCGGGGATCATTCCTCACTCTCAAAGTCGCACTATTGTCTGCGGAGGTCTTGCGGATATACGACCCGCTCGCGCTTACACATGACACTACGGATGCGTCAGGCTATGGCATTGGTGCAGTCCTCGAGCAACATGATGGTGTGGACTGGCACCCGGTCGAGTACATCAGCAAGAAAGTGCCACTCGTGCATTCCATTGACGATGCACGCAAGGAGTTCCTTGCCTTTGTCCACGCGCTCAAGCGGTGGCGGCACTTCCTCCTTGGTCGAAGCCAATTTCGCTGGGTGACGGACAACAATCCGTTGGTCTTCTACAAGACCCAAGACACCGTCAACAGCACCATCGCTCAATCGATGGCTTTCATCGACCAGTTCGACTTCTTTCCCGATCATATTCCCGGGAAGTCGAACCGTTTTGCGGATGCTCTTTCACGGCGTCCGGATCATTGTACCGCGGTCTACTCAACCTCAGAGATCGATGACGACCTGCGGAACAGTTTCATCAGCAGCTACCAAGCCGACCCCGAGTTTTGCGACAAGTACGCGAATTGCTCCTCTCCTACTCCGGCTCCTTCTCACTACCGGATCCAAGAGGGGTACTTGTTTGTCCACACGCGGGGGAAGGACCTTCTTTGCGTACCAAGTGATCCTCACTTGCGTACACGGCTTCTTGGCGAGTTCCACGATGCTCCCGCCACCGGACACTTTGGAGTCAATCGCACGATTGGCCGATTTCGACAACGATTTTGGTGGCCCGGCCTTCTTGGCGACGTCACGCGCTATTGCGAGTCATGCGAGGTTTGCCGACGCTGCAAATCCCGCAACCATCGTCCGTACGACGAGTTACGACAATTGCCAGTCCCGTTGAGGCGAAGGGAAGCGATTGCCATGGACATTACCGGCCCGTTCCCCAAGCACAAGACCGGAGTGGATGGGATTCTTACGGTGGTCAACCGACTCACCAAGTTCGCCATGTTTTTGCCTTGTCGCTATCACGCCAAGGCACCGGAGTTGGCCGAGGTTCTTTACGCCGGTTGGATTCGAACCAAGGGTTACCGCAAGGAGATCGTCTGCGACCGCGACACTCGATTTATGTCCGATTTTTGGTTGGCGCTCATCAAGCGATGGGGCTCATCTCTCGAGCCCAATTCAGCTCGCCACCCTCAGACCGATGGCCAGACGGAGAGGGCGCATCAGACCGCACAGGTTCTTCTTCGCACTCTCATCCGCCCTGACCAGAAAGACTGGGTTGAGCAACTGTCGGACGTCGAGTTGGCCTACAACTCTTCCATCCACCCGGCTATTGGGATATCACCCTTCGAGTTCGAGCACGGCTCGCCGGTCATGTCACCGTTGGACACTATTACTCCACGCACGGCCGAGAGCGACGACCATCTTCTTTTCTTGCGTCGGATGCAAGAGCTTCTTATCAAGGCACGCGACCAGATGGCTAAGACGCAATAGCGCATGAGCCAGCAAGCCAATCGCCAACGTCTTCCTTGTCCATTCCATGTCGGTGACCTCGTGTGGGTTTCTGCAGCGGAATTCAGCCTTGAACAAGACATGTCTCGCAAGCTCCTTCTGAAATGGATGGGGCCTTGGCCGATCGTAGCGCCCGCTGGGGACGCACCCGAAGGACCTTCCTTCACGATTCAGCTGTCCGGCCACTTGCCCGTCTACCCAATCTTTCATTGCTCCAAATTGGCTCTCTACACGCCAACGGAACATGACGATTTTCCCGGGAGACGTACGCAAGACCCACCTTCTATGGATGGTTTTCAGGAGGTCGGC